CTGCAAGCTTTGAATGCTTATATCTTCTAAATGCGAATTTTGTCACTGTTTTGGAGCACACTGCCTTATAGATAACCTTAAGACTAACATACTGATACTAACACCCAAAAAAACTTTAATTTTGATTTCATGGGGACTTTAACTTTTATAAAGAAGATCTCTTTGGATTTGAGACTTTAGTCTTTGCAACTTTACAGATCTTCTTTATGCACCAAGAGCTTGTAACACTCCAAAGAGAAAGGAAAAATTGAAATCGCATCATATGACCCCTTTAATTAAGGCAACTCACATGATACTAAAGCAATGCATTAAACATTATACTAAATGCATTAAACATTAAATATTAAAATAATCAATAAAAAATAAGAATTCAATAAAATATAATCATATGTGATGTGTCACATGTACAGGGACTTCTGAGAATGTCCTTTTAATGTTTTTCCCCCTAAAAGGGTCATATAGGCATAGTTTTTTTACTAAAACGCAGTATTTTAAAGTAAAATAACACAAGAGAAAGAAAAATGACGTTTTCACTGTATATGGTAAGGTATTTTATTGTAGCTACTGTATAGTTAACCGATGAACACGTTTTTACTGTAGCATTTTTTGTCTTGCTAATTTTATAGTCTTTTGATATTTTACTTTATAAAGAATATCTCTTTGGATTTGAGACTTTAGTCTTTGCAACTTTACAGATCTTCTTTATGCACCAAGAGCTTGTAACACTCCAAAGAGAAAGGAAAAATTGAAATCGCATCATATGACCCCTTTAATTAAGGCAACTCACATGATACTAAAGCAATGCATTAAACATTAAATATTAAAATAATCAATAAAAAATAAGAATTCAATAAAATATAATCATATGTGATGTGTCACATGTACAGGGACTTCTGAGAATGTCCTTTTAATGTTTTCCCCCTAAAAGGGTCATATAGGCATAGTTTTTTTACTAAAACGCAGTATTTTAAAGTAAAATAACACAAGAGAAAGAAAAATGACGTTTTCACTGTATATGGTAAGGTATTTTATTGTAGCTACTGTATAGTTAACCGATGAACACGTTTTTACTGTAAGCATTTTTTGTCTTGCTAATTTTATAGTCTTTTGATATTTTACAGTCTGTACAAATTACACAAAAAAAAGAATAATAAAGTGTAGAATAAAGCAGCTGCATAAACGTTTTAAGAACAATCGGATCTAACACTTTAGTTCTGTGTGTTGTTTTTTTAATTACAAATATGCCTCGGCACTCTTTGTGCTTGGCTGACGCAATGCAAGAAAGACCTGCTTGATCTTGTCTCTTACTTGGTCCATCTTGTCTTAAAGTATGCCTATGGCAGAAAAGAAAAACATATAGGACAAATGATGCAGTGTATAATTTATAGGATCTAATTGCAGAGAGTTTTGATGGCAACCTGTGTGTGCAGCTACAAGACAGCAAACATCAGATCCATGTCACGCTTTTAGATCTTTCTGTTTGTTTGTTTGTTTTTGTTTAAATGCAAAAAAAAAAAAAAGGAAAGACAGAAAGTGTAAAATCATATTTCAAGATTTCGTTATGCTTTTCCCCCAGTTACTTCATAATGGATAGTGACCCTTTTTCTCAATTTCTACTCTAAATGTATGACTTCAGAAAATATTTTTTTGAATACATAACTTTTTTGTGATTTGTGCTGTGCTATTAGCACAGGTTGGCAATACAGGGCTTTTACATTTGTCTTACCTAACATACATTGAACAACTAATTACTTATAAAAAGTGAGTATTATTAACTCTTGAATGTTATTAAAACAGCTTCTTCCAAATGTTTGCAATGACCAAGCCAGAAGATATTTGTCACTGCACTCACTTTAATATACAGCTGTTGCTCAACGAGTGAAGCCTCAAGGTCACAAGCTCTTCTCTTCAGCATAGCAGAAAATATGTTAAATGTCAAACATAACTGAACATTAAACATTAACATGCATTTCCCTTTGCTCAAAAACACAAAATAACAATTTCAACATTTACTCTCATGATACAGCTAAATTCCGCTGCCCAATTTCACTTAAAGCAAAATTGGTAGTCTCAACTCAAAAGTAAATTTAAATTTTACATATTTAAATTGATTGTACACATTTAAATTAAGTAGAGATAAAACGTTCAGCAACTGTGTTGCTTTAACTCATTGTAATGAAGTAAATTTAATAAGCAGCCAGGATCATTTTTTTACAGTGTGCGCTTATGATTAACTGCCTTAAGTTTTGCAATTTGCTGAACTCATGCAGACGCACCCTTTGGCAGCGTAATTCGCAGCACTAATGCTGATTCACAGGCTCTAAGTTACTAAAGGTAATGTGCATTGGTCCATAAACCTTTGAAGTATTCCCTCAAAACAGGTCTATCCCTCTGCAGGGCATTTGTGGCCTAATGGTTAGAGAGTCGGATTTGTAACCCAGAGGTCATGGGTTCGAGTCTTGGTACTGGTAGGGATTGTCGATGGGGGAGTGAATAACCAGTGCTCTCTTCCTCCCTCAATACCATGACCCTTGAGCAATGCACCGAACCCCCAACTGCTCCCCGGATGCTGCAACAAAAATGGCTGCCCACTGCTCTGGGTGTGTGTTCATGGGGTGTGTGTGTGTGTGTTCACTACTCACTGCTGTGTGTGTGCATTTGGATTGGTTAAAGGCAGAGCACCATACTTGGCCACAGGACATATCCTTTCCTTTCCCTTTCCTGGTAACATTTATAACCACCAGATGTCATTGTTGCCAATACTTTGAGACTGAATCTTTTCTTAGCACATTCAAAGTACCTGAGGTATGATTCGCTGATAGTAGGATGAAACAGCAATATTTGCATAACTGAGAATCCAAGAGACAAAATCAGTAGAACAAGATCAATAGAAAACCCCAAAACACTAGGCGAGCACACACACACACACCCCCACACACACACACACACACACACACACACACACACACACACCCACACACACACAC